CTGTCTATTAGAAGCTCTTGCTCTTCCTCTTTTTATTTCAAGCTGCATTCATAGCATAACTAAAAAAAAAAGAAAACAAATGAACAGAGTTGTAACAAAAGCAGAAAAAAGAATAAAAACAAGTAAATTGACTTACAATGGTGTCAAAAGCTCTCTTCAAAGGAGAGTTGTCAACTTGGTCACCTTGATTTTTTCTTCTGTCACATTACCTTGTATTATGACCAGTCACCCCACACTTCTTGCAAGTAACTCTCCGTCCTTGCTTGAACATCCTTTGTGAATTTTTTTTCTTCTTCTTCTTGGGCTCTTCAGGACCCCTCTTTCTGCCTTTTGATGGCCTCCCAGGACCCCTTCTAAAGTTAGGAGGCAAAGGTGGAATGAAAAGAGTCTGAGCCCATTCAGATGCACTATTTGTTCCAAAAATTGCAGCATACACCTTCTTGTACAATTGTGCAGAGTACCAATGAGAGACAAAGTCAACTGGATCCCATTTTTGTGTTAAAACAGCACTACCAACATGCTTACATGGGATTCCTGATAAGTCCCAAACCCTGCAACTGCAGCTTCTTTTCTCCAAGTCAACATTGAACTGAGACCCATCATAACACTTGATTTTAAAATGAGTGTCATCACACTTAATAGGCATACAGTCAGAGACATGGGATAGATGCTTCTGTAGGATCAAGTTGATAGTAGGACAAATTCTTCCACTCCATCTTAAGTCAGCCTTATCCCTTTTCGTTTGAAGTTTGGTGCACAAGTATTCCCTGATCCACTCACACATGGTTATTATTGGTTTCTCCCTTGCCTCAAGGATGTTGCTGTTGAAGGTCTCACATATATTGTTAAGCAACAAATCACACTTTGGTAAATCAGAAAAGAATGCCCTACACCATTGCTGTGGTGGTTTATTCATAAACCAATTGAATGCTTCAACACTCATGCCTTTAATTTCTAACATTCTTCCAGTAAAATCTCCAACCGTTGTGGCCTGGGCTGCCTTCCACACAGCATGCTTATAAGCCAATCCTCTGAACCCAACATTAAGGAAATTATTGTGCAAATGCCTAACACAGAATCTATGTGCTGCCCCAGGGAAGACAATGTCAAAGGCCTGTATAAGACCCTTCTGTTTATCAGATATGAATGTCTACATTTCTGGCCTTGAGATATCCAAATCCTTCTTCAAAATGGTTAAAAACCACTCCCAACTCTCTCTGCATTCCACTCCAACCATAACAAATGCAATAGGGAATAAATTGTTGTTAGGGTCTACTGCAACTGCAGTTCACAAAATCCCAGCATGTGGCCCTTCAAATGACACCCATCAACACCTATTAGTGGTCTACAACCAGCTTTACAACCCTCTTTCAAAGCACTAAAACAAACATAAAACTTACTAAATCTCTTATCACCACTCTCTTTTTCAGTTGCCAATACCACTGTTGAACCAGGATTGGTAGATCTGAGCTCCTCTGCATAATCCCATAACTGTGAGTATTAAAAATCAGGATGTCCCTGAAGAACATTCATGGCCCTTCTTTTAGCTCTATAAGCCTGATCTTTGGAGATATTCACATTCAGCTCATGAATTACATCAAACCTCCAACCCTTCACACTTCTCTTTGGGTCAGTTTGAAAATTGCTAATGTACCTCTCACTCAGCCACTTAGACTTAGTGTTCTTCACATTGAAGCTCCCATGACATGTATGAGTGGGATTATACTCTCTAATCTGGTAACTACATTGTCCCTTCATTTGTAAAAGATTACACCTCCATTTACAGCCTTCATCATCACATCTAACATAGACCCTAATCTTATCATTTTTAATTGTCTTTAGGGTCCTTTTTGTTTTGATTGAATGTGATTGAATGGCCTTTCTAAACTCCTGTTTAGTTGCAAAAACCATTCCCAACTCAAACACAGGATCAAATATGAGTTCAGGATTGAAAACAGGAGTCTCTACCTCTGCCTCATTTTCACTATCAACTAAGTCATCCAACTTATCAGGATTAGCAACCACATCTTCATTATCACTGTCAATAGACTCTGACTCACTCTCTCCATTAGCACTTGCATCTACATGATCAAAGAACAATGCATCATCATCTTCACTACTAGCATCCTTCATGTCATAATCACTATCAAAGAATTCATCATAGTAGTCAGTAGAATACTCAGTATCCTTATTACCCTCTGCGTCACTCAAATGAACACCTTTTCCTTTGTCAACCCCAGCAAGATTACCCTCACCATCAAGATTATCTTCAGTTGCATCATACTGACTCCTAGTCCCCTCACCAGCAAGACTACCATCCCCAGCAATATTATCATCACCTACATCATTGTGACTACTAATCCCATTACCAACCCCAGCAAGATTATTCTCTTGAGTAACACACTCTACACCAACAACATTATCCCCACTCTCACTATCAGACCCACTCTCAGACCCACTCTCACTCCCACTCCCAGTATCACTGTCACTCTCATCTAGATCCACCCAGCTACCTTCAATAGACAAACTAGAAGGTTCAAAAGTGTTGAAAACTTCAACAAATACAGTTAACTCTCTGTCAGATAAATAGCAATTTGCCCAAATTCTAATGTCATCATCTCCTCCTATCCTTATCAGAATCAACCCAACCTGTATGAAATATCTCCTATCACCAAC